TTAAGTGTTACATTTTCTTAAACAGTAATTAACTAATCATTGTATCATCATTGTATCAGTGATTACAAGAAAGATCAAAGTGAACTATTAAACATTTAAATGGTGATGAGCTACCAGTGATTAGCAGCAAAATAATAATATCAATAATAATAATAATGTATCAATAATTGTATATTATGTATGTATAATAACTGTGTAGAATATAACTTGCAAACTTAATCTGGATAAAGTGATATAAAACTAACAATCGATGTCAGATGATATTCTCTATGTTAGTTTTAAGACTGGGCATATGATTCCACCTACTGGGGACACAGACATGTGAAATTATTTCTACACTATTTATTTTCTACACTATTTATGACATATACCTATTGTTTATGAATCGATAAGATTTTGTTGTTGTTGCACATACTCAGTAGGCATTATGACAATCTTTAGCGATCTATCAGCGTGTGATATTTTATATACTGCACAGAAATATCCAAAACGAGTGAAGATTCGCTCAATGTATGCAATCGTGAGAAAAGTAGATTTCTTTTTATTTCAGCTGCACATGAATGGAGAATTGAAGTGAAAAGTCTCAAATCCCTTAGTAAATAATTCTCAAACTATCTATGGATATGATCAATATAATAGAGGCTGATTTACTAAAGTAAATGAGAATTGTAACCACATAAATTATGTGAATATTAGCTTTAAAGTATAAAATAATTTCTAAAGCAAAAATAATTGAAGTGAATATTCAATTGGAAGAATAGGTCACCAGCACTCCAAATATTTAAAATGAATAAGTCCTTTTTATTGGACAAAAGTGTCACAGAGATCAAAAAAGAGCCGACGTTTCGGGGCCGCGCAGGGTCCCTTCCTCAAGGCAAGAGATGTGACAATGTGATAACATCCACATACTACATATATCTATTATATATCTAATATTCAGACATTTCCTTTTTGTAAAGATTCTTAAATCTTTTAGTAATCAGCCCAATTCTGCTATTTTATCTAACAGTATGGAAATTGTTTTATATGAATTATGCAGCAGTGTGAAAAAAAACTTCATTACTTGCACTACGAATATGTATACAGGTATATATATATAAAGAGAGAGAGAGAGAGAGAGAGAGAAGGGGGGGATAGATGGATGGATAGATAGATAGATAGATAGATAGATAGATAGATAGATAGATGGATAGATAGAAGGATAGATAGAAGGATAGATAGATGGATAGATAGATGGATAGATAGATGGATAGATAGATGGATAGATTGATAGAAAGATAGATAGATAGATAGATAGATAGATAGATAGATAGATAGATAGATAGATAGATAAAGATATTCATATAATTTGATGGTATGAAAAAGTTTATATATATTTTTACACAATATTAAATCTGCTTTAATACTTTTAACTGATTCTAGAATGATGACCTCTAGCACTCAAGTACATATGAATGTTACATTGTCTATAACATAGACAAAATATTATAGACAATGTAACTCAATGCCCCTCAATGCCCCCATGTCACTTGGTGACATGTAACAAGATGTAAATGCCATTATAGAAGCCATAACCCACATTGATTAGGACTGAGTGCAATGATCAATAATATCAATGATAAATTGATAGGACGGATTACCTCTCAGGGTGTTGCCTTCCTTGACTTTGGGGTCAAACTCTGTGGACAAGATCCGATCAATACCGAACTTGAGGTCCTTGCTGGAGGGGGCCGGCTGGGTGCTTCCATGGGGCCCCCTGAAGTTGGGTCCCCGGTGGGGGTGAGGTTGCTGGTATGGGGAAAGAGGGGAGATCCTGAATCCAGAGTCCGGGGTGAGCGGGGTGGGTCTGAGGGGGGAGCCCCCAGTTGTTTGGTAGTGAGCCGGGTGCAGGACGCCCATGTGGGAGGATCCCGGGGGGCTGTCAGGGTCCCCCACATGGAGGATGTCAGCGATGCAGAAGGAAGGCTTCTTAGCGGGGTCCGGAGGAGGGAAGCCCCCCGAGCAGTAGGCAGACCACATGTTGAAATGAGAGGCGGCATAGAACGGGGCCAGCCCGGTGGTGTACATCGTACAGGCTAAACTCACAGGGGCCCCTCGGGCTGCAGGGCCAACACTCTTTCCGTTCCTGGGTGCTGTGTGTGGGTACGGAGGAGTTAGGCGAGGCACTGTGCACGGCGCTCAACTCACCCGAAAGTTTGCAACTTCTTCGCTGTACAAAAGTTTATCCTCCTCCGCCGTCATTTGCTGGGAGCCCGGCCTATGGGATGTGGCCTCTCCCCTACACCCCCGACACGCCTCCCTCTTATTGATTTCTATGCAGAAGGAGCAGGGGCCGACCACGCCCTCTGTCAGCCCGTCAGCCAATCGCAGGTAAGAGGGAGCATTTCAGTGTTCCAAAACAGCAAAGGAAAGGCCTGCAAAATCAATGGAAGGGGCCACAGACATGTCAATTATCAGGGGCCACAGGCATGTCAATTATCAGGGGCCACAGACATGTCTATTATCAGGGGCCACAGACATGTCAATTATCACGGGCTTCAGATGTGTCTCCTTAAGCACCGCATTGACAAACTTTGCATTCATGCCAGTCACTAAACTGTGCACAAGTAGAGTTACCTGAGTGCAAACCTTAAAAATCCATTAAAATATTGAACTGCACTATTATCATTATTATAATACTATTGCATTGTAATAATAATAATAATAAATGCAGTTGTTTATTTTAGACTTTAGATTTTATTTATTTTTATTTAGATTATTGTATTAGACTTTGTAGAAATGTGCACTGATACGTAATTTTAGCTCTGTGTGAACAGCTTTTATATATATATATATAGATAGATAGATAGATAGATAGATAGATAGATATTTGCACATTTTTACATGGATGGCTACACACCCAGTTTGTCGCTTTATTTTACTCTATAATAAGCTGCACTGATATTTTGTACGTTTTAGGTAATGTGTGTATATGGTTTGATCCAATATAGGTATGATTGTATCCCAGTAGGAAAGGTAAATGTTATACAATGTACTGCAGTTACTCTTCAGAGATGTTTCAGAAACATTTTCAGTCTCCAGAATTATGTGAGTTTTATGCCCAAACCACAGAGAAAATATATTAAAGGAGCTGGGAATGTTCTCTAAAAACAAAAGAGTGAAGATTAATTTCATGTATCAGTCATGTGAAAAGCAGATTCCGATTTATTTCATCTGCACATGATGGGAGAATTGAATATTCACTTTTCTTTTCAGTGAACTTTCTCAAACCCTTTAGTAAATCATTCTCAAATTATTTGTGAATTTTTGAAATTTTAACAACATATATAGAGAATTATAGAGAATGATTTATTAAAGGAGCTGAGAATTTTCACTTTAATTATACAATGAAAAGTAAACTTTTTTTTCTCATGTCGTCTGCAGATTAATGAATACATTATTCATTTATAAATAAATGAAATTAAAATCGTGCAATTCATTGTGTGAGTGTTCTCAACTCCATTAGTAAATCGGCCCAATAGAGTCATCAGTTTCTATAAACAAATATATATACATATCATATTACATGTGTAGCGTATTTTTGTAATAAGGTTATTATTGTACAGGGCTGGGGGATCCCATGAGCCTGAACATACAAAACCCATCAACATTTACCTCTGAACATGCAATACCGCTGACCATACAATACCCCTAAGCATACAATACCCCGGAACATGCAATACCCCGGAACATGCAATACCCCTGAAAATACAATACCCCTGAGCATGCAATACCCCTGAACATGCAATACCGCTGAGAATACAATGCCCCTGAACATGCAATACCCCTGAACATGCAATACCCCTGAACATGCAATACCGCTGAGAATACAATGCCCCTGAACATGCAATACCCCTGAACATGCAATACCCCTGAACATGCAATACCGCTGAGAATACAATGCCCCTGAACATGCAATACCCCTGAACATGCAATACCCCTGAACATGCAATACCGCTGAGAATACAATGCCCCTGAACATGCAATACCCATGAACATACAATACCCATGAACATGCAATACCCCTGAACATGCAATACCCCTGAAAATACAATACCCCTGAACATACAATACCCCTGAACATGCAATACCCCTGACCATACAATACCCCTGAACATACAATACCCCTGAACATACAATACCCCTGAACATGCAATACCCATGAACATACAATACCCCTGAAAATACAATACCCCTGGACATGCAATACCTCTGAGCATGTATACCCCTGAACATTCAGATTGTCCCATTTAAGCGTCGGGTCTCTATAATACTGGGGAGGGATGTGGTGCCTTAATCACCCATCAGTCCAACCATTAAATTTTTTGCGACTCCTTTAAATCGTCTTAAAATCTGCTGCATTACAATGTTTGAATCCTTCTGATCTTAGAATTAATTTCTTCACTGGGACGTTTTTTATGCACTTGTAAAATACACAGACGCGGCACTGGTTCTCATTACACGGTGTGGGGCCTTTAGTACAAAGCTCCATGTGTGTATCATATCAAATATTGCAACTATTATATATGTTTTTAATAGCAGAATTGACTTTATAATGGCAATGAATCGCCCAATCTCACGTGTGCATAAACTGTCACCTAGAATCATTGTACAGAATGACAGGTAGTGTCATATAATTGGACAGAATGACAGGTAGTGTCATATAAAGCCGCTTCTCTGGTGGCAGCAGCGCGGGCTTGACGCTGCGCAGAGAAGCGCTGGACGATGCAGATGGTAATCTCGTTGTTGAACTTGTCGCTGTCCCCCCTCCCGGTGTCACCCCGCTGCTGTTGTTTTTCCTTTGTGTTGATAAGGAATGATAGGAGCCCAGCAAGTCGTCTGTAAATAGCACGGCCAGTCTGAACAATAGCCGCGCTCATCCTGTTTGTCATCCACTCCAAAACTCCTCCGAATCAGCGGATTTTCCTGCCTGATCCTTTCCAAAAATAGAGTCTGCTGCAGTATTTTAAGGAACAGGCAGCGATCGTTATTTCTTCCGGAGAAGCAATATAAAAAACAATCGCCTCCCTCTAATAACTGCTAGAGCACTTCCTTCTCCAATATTTGTCAGGCTTTATCTGCGGCAGCACGGAGCGCCCAGTGACGCAAATCCGCCCCCAGAGCACCAAAATATCGCACGGAACACACATACACTGCACCGGGCTTTCATCTGCCTTTCCTATGGTCTGCCCGAGGACCATCACAGGGCCCTACAAAAGAGATGAACACTGCAAATCACTCCATTATCTGGGGGATGCTCAGCCTATAGCGCCTGCAGATACCGGAGGGATGTCAGTCTCAGGGAAAGTTGTGTATTAAGAAGTCACTTTTCTCTCTATATTTGCACTAACAGTGTATGTGAAGGCGACATTGTCCTATGTCAGCGAATGTTATATCTGTGTGCTGCGAATATTACAAATGTAACAATCCCATGTCACCAGATCGTCCATCAAATCGTCACTTCTGTTCTCTATTTCCGCCTACTCTTCTTTCTTTCTTTCTTTCTTTCTTTCTTTCTTTCTTTCTTTCTTTCTTTCTTTCTTTCTTTCTTTCTTTCTTTCTTATTGTCATTCTTATTGTTAATACAAACACACGTGTAACCTGATTTACTAAAAGAGTTCAGAATCCTCTCTTCACACTATTCCAATATTCACTTCAATTACCAAATTCATTTCATGTGAAGGTCACGTGTTGGCGGATTGGATAATCAACGTCAATAAATATTACTCTTTTTTTTTTTCTAAACTTGTCTCTCTCTCTTTCCTGTTTAATTGCACCCTAATACAAGCTCAGTCCAAACACAGCCAACTTTTCCGATGAACATTTAATAAATGGCTTCCCAAGCTTCGTCTGAACTCCTGGCACCTTGTGTGAGAAAATCATCATTCCACACAACGTATTAAAACGTATTAAAAGCTTCCTCATCTGTGTGACCCATCCCAGCCCTGCTCCATACTTGTTTACATAACTGAGATTATCCAACAAAAGGGGGGAAAGAGTCTTATTGGGGGATATATGGAGGGGTAATGTGATCAGAGCCTCGGTGCTCCAACACAGCGATTGTATGACTAATTATCGCTACAATCTCAGCTCGTTAATGATGACTTCATCCATCCACATTCCTCATTCAATGCAAGTTATTATAAACACGCAGTGCCAGTTTCCCAGGATGAGGAGATACCTATTACACTTTATATAATATGGAAGATTGCACTACAATATAATACATTATATTTATTTGTATTATACATTTTAAATGCCCCATATCCGATAAAAATGAATGTAAATATAAACTAGCTCGAAAATCAATTATTATAAAAATGACACAAAATGTGATCATTATAATCGATCCATGAATGAATATGATGTATGAATCATAATATTAAAATGACCACAGGTGCTAAAGGTCAGCCGGGGAAAAAGATGTCAGTGTTTCAAAATTCGTTTTCCAAATGTTAAAGCAAGAAAAAGAAACTATATAAAAAAGAAGTTTGCATAATAGAAAAGGAGAATTGCTGTATTATATTTTTTTGCAAGCACATTAATAGTCACAGTAAACATAAATTCCCCTTATTTACTAACATTCCTTTTGCTAAATGAACTGCCTTTGTTTAGTATAAATCACCCAATTTATCTTTGTTCAACCGTACAATTTTTCCATCCGAATTATAATGGAACAATTGCTATTTTACTCCTTGTTTAAGGAGAGATCCCCTTCTATACAACATCTTTTTATTTTTTAACTTAACATTCATTAATGAACAATAAAGGGTCTCCTGATCAATATTTTCACCTAAGATTCACAAATTTTTCTTACTGAATCGAATGTGGATCTGTCGATGATGCATCTTCTGGGAAACATTAATAAATAGACCCTTAAGTGTAATAAAAAAAAAAAAAGAAGACAGCTATAGGCCAAAGTTGCACCCAGACTTGTTCACATGATTGCTGTAAATGATAGAAAAATCCTGGGAGATTCGTCCAATATGTATCACATGCCCCTATTTTATACATCTGTAGATCTGTGCGCTTGTTTGACACTAGACACCCCAACACCTGTGCCCTGGGTT